CATTTTCTTTCTGTAAGATGTGCATGCTAACTCGAGAAATCATCTGTTTTGTGGAGATGTCTATTGTCTTTTCATAGAGTGGCGATATAGGTACTGGAAACTAGTATCTGAAGATATGTTTTTATTGACTAAATGGATTCGCACTTTCCTTTGGCATATTGTTCTTTGGAAGGTGATTAAGAGTGAGTATGGGCTGCACAAGAATAGCATGCTTCCTCTGGAATTGTTCTTTGTAAGATGATTAAGACTAGGTATGGGTTGAATAGGAGTGGCTGATTCTGTAGCTAGTACCTTGACGCACAGGAGGCCTGGAAATCCATTTCATAGCTTTATGAGACCATCCCTTTTACCTGTTCAAAAACATTTTTTGGCAAAACCTTTGGATTGTCATCTCATGCTTGCTAATTTTTTCACTGCCTTCACAACCTTTTTTCAAGTCATGGCATGAGTTTGGATTGTGGCTTATTTTTATGGTCAGCATGTGCTTAAAGCACATTTTGGTTAAAAAATAAGTTCAAAGTGTTTGGATCATCCTTGGAAGTATTAAAAGTAAAAACTCTAAGGCTTTTAGGACCAAAACAAAAGCTCCAGACACCAGATATTTGTAAGCTCCTTTGACCATTATTTTTTACCAAAATATCACTTATCAAGACAAAGTATTGCACTTCGATACTTTTATTGAATAGTAACGAATTCTATAATTTTTTAAAACATTTTAAGTCTAAAAACCATAAATAAAAAATTCAAGTATCTAGACTCTTTTCCTATTAAAAGCATGAGCTTCAAGTTCACTTGAGCTAAAAGCCTTTGCACTCAAAGCACCAAAATTAGTAAGTCAAGCCAAACACTCTCATAGTCCTAGCATATGTCAGTTTCTCGAGTAGTTGGATGGTTCAGTCTCTTCAAAATTTCTTTTTCTTTAGGAATTTTAATGATCGAGAATCTGATTATACTATCTCTTTGCTCAATATCCTCGAGCCGTTTATTATCCTTAGAACTTGGAGTCCTCTAATCCATATACTTGCAGTCTCTCATTTCACATCTCACCCTGTAATTTCAGTCTCTAAAATGAGGATTTCACTAGTGCATTTTTGAAAACTAGTGAGGTTAAGATTTTTGTTTGAACTGCTGCTTTGAAAAAACTGAAGACCATTGATTTGTTGCAAATTCACAGATCTAACTGTGCCCATCCCCAACCACTTTATGTGTTTGAATCCCATGGTCACCTCTCTACGTTTCATAGAGGAGGTGAGTGGAAGAAGCGAGGTATGATTTGAAAAGGAGCTCTCTTTGCTGGTCTGTTGGCATAGTGGTTAAACTATGATGCTAGACTTTTCAAGGATCATTATTTTCATCTGTGTCTCACATGGTATATAATGATTTTCTATGCTGCTTTGTGGACCATGGTTCACTAAGGTTGTCTGTTTGGCTACTTTGCAAAAGGATTGGGATGGATTGTCATGTTGATGGTTTTCTTTCCTTGTTCTATTTGTTATTTTATGAGGATTTCTTGTCCTCTAGTGTTGTAAACATTTTTCCAATCTTTCTAAAAATATTTCTCTCATAAAAAAACAAACATGTGCACACCAACTTTCATTCTAAGGTCCACTCTAGAGTTACAGTTTTATAATGTGAAATCCATAAGAATCATAATATCTTGAATTTGATCTCTCTTTCTCTCTTGATTGTGAGCAGGTAGGGGCACAAACATCCATAAAAACGGTAGATTTTGCTTTGTCACCTTACCAAAATATTTCTTTGGTAAAAGAATTAACGGCAGGAGGAGAAATTTCTCATATCTCGAAATCCTGGATGACTGTAAAAGAGCCTATCAGTATTTGGAGTGACAACAGTTTTACTGTCCTAGGAATTTTGGAGCATCTGAATGTTACAAAGGACAAATCTGATTATCTATGGCTGATGACCAGGTATCTTTTTGTTAGTCTGATATGGAAACCTCTGGATTTGTGATTGTGCAGGAAATTAGTAGAAGAACATTTATGGCATCATTGAGTTCCCCTTTCTTGTATGCCAGAATTATTCTTCAAAAGAATACGACCAGCCTATTTCAAAGTTAATTGATCTTTTTATGAAACATGAGGTTTCCACTGATGTTTACTCTTTGGGGTTGCAGCTTATTGTTTTGTGGAGCTTGTGCATCATGCTTATGCATCTCGCTTTCCTTTAATAGTTCCCTGTGCATCTTCGATGCATAAAATTTAGATTAACAACTCCTGAACATCATTCCAACTTCAAACGTGATTCTCTTATAAATTCAATTATTGGCTAAGGACAATAAGTAGTTTGTTTGCCTCGGAGAAGCAGATTCACTGGTATTGTTTCTGGGTCATTGGGGCCCATTTACAGTGATCTAAGGGCTTTGGGCCTTGTAATCTATTAGTTAGATGCCTGATAATACTCATCCTATTTCTACATATTTCAATCTCAAGATACACCATGACTCAGATCACTTTCTTGGGAATGATAACATATTGGTAGCAAAGTGACTAGGGTACCATTTTAATGTAATAATGAAAATTTACACTATAATGTATGTGAACTGATAAACAACGACGTATAACTTGTTCTCCTAGTAATAAAGGAAGTGATTTTTCTTTTAAATTAATTCATAATGACGTTTGGGATCTCTCTAATATCCCCAACATCTTTGGGGCTTAGTAGTTTGTTTTTTTATTGACAATTGTACCTAGGTCTCTTGGAATTTTTTATTGAAATCTAAACTAAACTTAGTCTTATTATTCCCCAGTTCCATGCCATGATTAGAACACAATTTAGGGTAACAATTAAATGTTTAAAAACTGATAATGTTCGAGATTCTTGTAACCAAACTTTAACCTCCTTCTTTCAAAAAAAAGAAATTGTTTATGAATCTTCCTATGTTTATACCCCACAAGAAAATAGAGTCATAGAACGCAAAAATAGTCACTTGCTTACTACAACGTGTGCATTCTTATTTCAAAACCACTAAACACTACTAGGAGGAAGTTGTGTTAACTGACACACATCATATCAACTAGTTACCATCTCGAGTACTAGACTTCCAAAGCTCGATGGAAGTTCTCTCAACATTTTTTTCCAGAAGTGTGAGTAATCAATAACCATATCCCTTATATTTTTGTGTGTGGTACCTATGTTCACATACATTAATCTCATAGAGGAAAACTTGACCCCATGGTGATCAAGTATATCTTTGTGGGATATTCACTAACTCAAAAAGGGTACAAGTTTTACCACGCAACCACAAGAAATTTTATGTATCAGCTGATGTTACCTTTGTTAATACCTGTTTTTCTTTGACCAATCTTATCTTCAAGAGGAGATTATACTGGAAGATAAAGAGATTCTTTTGGCGGTGATAGGAGAAAGAAGAAGTTTATTCTCTAGCTAGTTACTTGGAAAGAGAGAGCAGAAATTTGATGTATCAGCTGATGTGACCTTTGTTAGATGAGCTACTGAGGAAGTTTGCTGTTATTTTGACGGAGTTCAGATGTTTGGTCTAAAACTTTTGTTTTTTGTTCAACATCATTTATTTAGTTCAGTGGAGGATTTAGAAAATATCATAGTCATCTTGACAATTATGTAAGTTTCTGCTCTTTCATATATCTTATGCGTTAGGGTGGCACCCCTTGGTGCTATTTAATGAGAAAAGTTATGTAGTTGGGCTATTTCCTCTGATTTATGGTTTGTGACTAGAAAAAAATGTCATGCGTCTTTAAAAATATCCTGTCTTTAAGACAGATTGGCGTTCTGGTGCTGCTTTGTGTTAAGCCTCATGGCCTCCTTTAAGGTCTCTTTAGAGACTACCTATTTTGCAAAGAGATTGGACAATTATCTAGTATTGAAGTTTGTCTATTTTGCTATTTTTTTTTTCAATTTTTTGCTGTCAATGGATGATGTCTTATCTTTGTTTCTTTTTGCTACTAATATTTATTCTTTATCTAACAGAATGAAGTTACTTCCACTCTAACTGGAAGAATAAATATTAACTATTATCGTTCCACTTTCTATATATAGTTAGTTGATGCCCTGGTATTTCTTGTGTTCGATATAGAATATATGTATCTGAGGATGACATCTCATTTTGGAGGGAAACTGGTGTTAGTCCAGCAGTTTCAATCGATAGCATGCGTGATGTGTTGCGGGTGTTTGTTAACGGCCAGCTTACAGGTTATTTGAGTCATATATGCTGTCTTTTTCTTTCAAAGCAAAATATTAATTGATTAATGTGGGTTTCCTACTTCTATGCACATATTTTCCTCAATGTGTGTGTGTGTGTGTGTGTGTGTGTCTAGTTTTGCATGTTCAACTAAAATAACTTCCTAGAATGTGCTTGATATATTTTTGGATTCACTCATAGCTTTCTAATAAATTGGGTTACTTGATGCAAAGTACAAGCAGAAAACTAATGTTTGGCTTTAGGCAGAATAAGAGTCCTAATCATTAACAACTAATAAACTCATTACTGAGAAACAGTTTTAAATCGATTTAGAAAAGGGTATCTTTTACGTTTCTAATTTTCGGATCTTGTTATGGGATTTTGTTAATAGTATGTGCTTGTTAAGAGAGAACTCAACAATTTCTTATTTTTTGTTAATAGTATGGACTCATTAAAAGGGAACCCAATGATCTCTTGAGTAAGAAAATATTTGATACTTTTCATAAATTTATTCTTGCTTAAAAATCTGTAAAAAAGACAGTATTTATTTATATAAGAGAAAAAGTAGTTACCTGGAAGTTATTTTCAGAATTAACTACCCTCTTGGTCCTTTTCTAGACTTATTCCCCCTAATAATACACATGTCCACACTTAACATAACATTTTACACATAAGGCATACTGACCTATTCATGGATATTACTAGCAACCTTTCTACTTATTGTTCTTTTTTAAATCAGTGAAGAAGTTAATGTTGGTGCCTCCTTTGCAAAGGGGGAATGTGCATGACAATTGGACTTTTTCCAGTATCAGCTGCTGCACCATTTAGAGTGGCTTGCTACGTTTCATGCTAAAGGAAGAAAAGTGGCCTTGTCTTCAGAGCAAAAGCAATTTTTTAAATGCTAGTTACGCTATTTGTTATGAGGGAATTTTATTCCCTACTTTTGCTAACATGTTTATTCTTATGACTACCTGAAAGTATAGGCAGTGTGATTGGTCATTGGGTCAAGGCAGTGCAGCCTGTTCAGTTTCAGCAAGGATACAATGATTTAGTGTTGCTATCTCAAACAGTTGGATTGCAGGTAAAAGTCCTGGCTCATAAATATCCTTTTGCTGAAGGTTTGTAATTGTGAATTAGAATGTTACTTGTCTCTTGATTGTAAATAGTGCTGCGTTGTAGTGTGAAAAGTGACAAATTTGGAGTAATTTACCCTCTTCCCAATAATATTATGTCCTGAACAGAAAGGAACTGTCAGATGAAAGATTTTTCCCAAATAAAAGACATCTGGATGGTGAAGCATCCAAACTGAAGATAAGACTAACTCTGCTTTGTATTTCTCTTCATTAGGGAGATTTCTAAGATAGGAAAAGCTGAATCTGATTAAAACTATCAATTAAAGCTATTAAGTTGTGCCATATCGAGGATCTGTACAAAATGAGCGGTAATGCAAACAATGATAGAAGGATAAACATGTTTTAGCCAATTAGAAGTTTCTCACTGAATTACTCAGAACTAGAGTTCGTTTACTAAAGACATGGAAAATCTAAAGGCTGAGGCCTATCAAGGTAAATTAGGAGGGAGTACTTGGCATAAGCAAGGAAGTCTCTTAACTGGATATAGGGTTCGAGAAAGGAAGCTTCGTTGACAATTTTAAGCCTGTTAAGTTACAGCACCATGCCTATTTCAAAAAAAAAAAAGCTACAGCACCATGCCTTTCCAAGTAGAAACCTGGATTGATGATTAAGCAGTCAAACCTTTTTGGAGAATAAGGAACTCTGAATTCATAGGAACAAGAATTTGTTGAAGATATACTTAAAATTCTCCTATGTTGAAACAACTTCAACTTTCCAAAAAGCTTCAACCTTGTGGGCTCTCTAATTTAAATTTAATATTTTTAAGTTCATCTGCCACCTTGAGTTGACATCTTTATAACTTTCTTCCTCTTTCTAGGCTCTTCTGCCCATTTTTATCCTTTTTCTCTTTCATCCAGTTTATTGACTATTGTCTATTAATGTACAAGTTGTTGATCTTCAAATTGAATACTTTTTTAAAGAACCTGGATTAGTTATAAGTCATCTATCCCTCTCTGTCTCTTCCTTTTACCATAAGTGGAGTGAATAAATAACTTGGAACAGTCATTACCTCAGAAGTATGGTCAAAACATTTTTTTGAGCCATTGTGTTTGTTTCTATTCAGTCAAAAGTTTACTTGGTTATACTTTATTCTTTCTTGTTTCATGGATAAGGGAATCTCAGATGAAATATAATTATAAATGAACTGTAGAATCTGAAAACTGCCTTTGTTCAAGTATAAATTCGAAATAAGTTTCCCTTTTCTCATCAGTATTTCGAGAGTTTCTGAAAATCCGTGATGTTTTAATATTCTATCCCATATTGGACTAGAATATGATTGGTGAACCTTACAAGGGTTTAAGTTTCTATTAATAACTTGAGCTGTGTTGACGTGATCTTGCACCTTTTGATGGTCTTGATTGTGATTGTTGTGTGTGACCTCGACAAAGGATACTAAGAATTTGAAGGGAAATTTTTATACCCTACCTCAGATGAGATAGCAATGTGGTTAATGAAGCCAATATGAGGGTTCAAATCCCTCAATTATAGCAGTTTGAGCTTAGTTTTTGAGCAGTTGTGCATGTTTTTACAACCTTTAATCTGGTATATTTTTCTTAGTTAATATTTTTGTCTCTATTTTAAAATTCATGCGGCTACTGATTCCAGTTCTTGTGCCATTGCAAAATTGATGATGCAGAACTATGGTGCCTTTTTAGAGAAAGATGGAGCAGGTTTTAGAGGCAAAGCAAAGCTTACTGGGCTAAGAAGTGGAGATATTGACCTCTCAAAAGTGTCATGGACCTACCAGGTGTGTATTAAGTAATGGACCATAGATTCCGGATTGTGCTACGATTTCAGTAATCAGAGAGTGTGAAGTTCTGACTTGCATTTGTATTCTTGTGAATGTATCCAAATATTTGTCTAAATAAAATTAAAGAAAGTAATATCTTTGCATTATGAATCCTGAATATAGAAAGTAATTGTTCTTCTAATTTAGTAAATAAGAATAGATGATAATTTTTTGTTTAATATTCTTTTCAGTATAACCAATCAGTCTGACACAGTCCAATTTGTATCAGTATCAAAGGTGATCAAACAAATGAAAAGATCTCAAATAATGTTCTAATTCACCATGTCAATACCTCCTTTTGCTGAGAGTTGCCCTGTTGTCAGATTTGAAGTTGGGCAATCTTGTTTTGCCTTGCCTTATTTCCTATACCTAATGTCTATCAGGTTTTCAGTGTCAAAATGATTAAAATTTTTGCAATCCAGGTTTATGCCAGTATGTTTACATAATTATTGTTTAGAAAAAAATGTTTACATAATTCTATTTAGATATGTACGAGTTAAAACAAATGCCTTTTGCAGTTTGCTATATAATTTTTAATAGTGTTAATGATTGGATTGACATGTCTGCAATGCTATCTGGTGCAAAACTTTCTGAAGAAAAGTTGGTTCAGAACTTTTACAAAATCAAACTGTACGTGCTAAATAAATTAGAAACTTCAATTCTTATGTTTGTCACTGGTTTCATTGCAGGCTGTAGAAGAATGGGATAGGATGCATGCATGTCTATCCATGCATTATAGTGATTATAAGACCTTTTGAGTTGACACCCTTTTCTTCTTATTTAGTCCTTGATCTGACTATGTACTTGCAAGAATGAAGCACTTTTTGGCATTATGTTCTTTCTCGTGAGGATACAGAAACGGTTAGGTGACTGCTGAATTGTTTAATTTTGGTTCTAGGTTGGGCTGAAGGGTGAATTCCAGAAAATATATACCATTGAAGAGAATGAAAAGGCAGGATGGACGGATTTGACACTTGATGTCCTTCCATCAACATTTACCTGGTATAAGGTATATCTAGTTTTCCATGTATTAAAGTTTTAGCTTATGTTGAAATTTGGTTATGTTATCAGCTACCTGAGAATATTTATATTTTCCTGAAAGGAAATTTTATTTATAGAAAAGTTGAACTTATATTAAATTCTAAAATCTCTCTCTAAATTATGTACATTATATCTGTATTTATGTTTTTAATATCAGCTAGCAGTCAGTTGTTTATAATAGTATCTACAAATGGATAATTTTCCATTTCAGTAATTATGTTATCTACCTCACCTAGTATGTTGTTTTTAACAGTATCAATACACGGAATTATAAACTGTGTCTTCTTTTGTACCAATTGAACCAGACATACTTTGATGCTCCTGATGGCACAGATCCAGTTGTTCTTGATTTGGGAAGTATGGGAAAGGGCCAGGCTTGGGTGAATGGCCATCATATTGGAAGATACTGGACTATTGTCACCCCAAAAGCTGGATGTCAAAGAACCTGTAATTACCGTGGTGCCTACAATTCGGAAAAGTGTGCAACAAACTGTGGAAAGCCTACTCAAACTTGGTACGCCTCTATGACGTATTAAATAACAAAAAGCAGCCAATTGTTTTCATCATATTGAGAAATGTTGCTTCAGTACTTTCTTTTCTTTGTTAAATATTGAAGCTACTTTGCATGAAGAAGAAATGTTAGACAATGCTTCGTTTTCTTACGTAATAATTGAAGTCACATTTAAGGCAATGATATTTTAGTATCACTAGCCTGATGCTGTCATTATTGGTCAATAATCAGGTACCACATACCACGTGCATGGTTAGAGAAATCAAAAAATCTACTTGTCATCTTTGAGGAAACTGGAGGCAATCCATTTGAAATTTCGATCAAATTACGTTTAGCTCGAACTCTTTGTGCTCAAGTGTCAGAGTCCCATTATCCACCTCTGTGGAAATGGTCCCAACCAGATTTTATTGATGAAAAATTTGCAATAAAAGATACAACACCCGAGATGCACTTGCAGTGTGAAGATGGACATGTCATCTCCTCCATTGAATTTGCTAGCTATGGAACTCCTCAAGGTAGCTGCCAGAAGTTCTCCAGAGGCAACTGTCATGCAGCAACCTCCTTGTCTGTGGTGTCAAAGGTAAATGCGATGATAACCATCTTATGAACTAATGGCTTTAGATGTTGATCTACTGATTGTGATGAATTGAACCCAATCCATTGTGATTGGAAGCCTCATTTAAGTTCGCAAGACTCGTTTAGGGATAAAAGCAGAAGAAGAGTAAAAAAAAAAAAAATAACTTATTGGACAACCTTGATTAGCATCCATAGCTTTCCTGTGGCAGCAACTTTGACGTACAACAATAATATACATGAGACTATATGGAAACAGTTACCTAAAATATATCGTTCCGCAATTTTTCAGGCTTGCCAAGGGAAAAACAGCTGTTCTATTGGAGTTTCAAATGCCATTTTTGGAGACCCATGCCGAGGCACTGTTAAAACATTGGCTGTTGAGGCGACATGTATGTCATCATCAAATATAGGATTGTCTCTGTTTTGAAATGGTGAGCAGCTGATGCAGTGAAATATAGAAGATGTCAAACTGGTGTTTTGATCTACATCAGAACCTGCCGTATCTGGAGTTAGCTGGCTGTATCTCCAATTCTACATAAAATATGTACATGCTTCTTGTTTGGAACCTGTCATGTTGAAGGTGCAGCCGGCTAACTCCAAATAATATCTACATGCTTCTTTTTTGGATTGCCTCTGTCATGTTGGATTGTCCCTGCTTCTGGGTGCTGTTAAAGTTAATTCTGTACATAAACTATCTGTTCATATTGAAAATGTTAATGTCCAAACACAACTTCGAAGGTTTGTATGGTATGTCTTTTTGACAATTTGAAAATTTGAAGCACTTGCTTCTTATTTGGATTGCCCCTGTCATGTTGGATTGTCCCTGCTTCCGGGTGCTGTTAAAGTTAATTCTGTACATAAACTATCTGTTTATATTGAAAATGTTAATGTCCAAACACAACTTGGAAGGGTCGTGTGGTATGTCTTTTTGACAATTTGAAATTTTGAAGCACTAAATCTTTAGATTATCAAAACCCAACTTCTGGTGATGCCTTAAAAACTTTGCTTCAATTTATTACTTGATTAAATATATATATATATATATATATATATATACTTTCTAATATCTAGAATTTAACTTTTTTAATGTTTGTGACTATTCAATTTACTTGTCTTAAGAAAGATGATTTTCAATGTTTATTTAAGAATTTTTAACAAATAAACAGACTTGATAAAAATTAGAAAGAAATGCTGCCGAACAATCCTATTATCTTATGCTTCTTTCAAATGTGAAGGGTGTATTTAAAACAAATTGATTGCTTTCGCAGAATTTAGTCAAAAATGTTTATTTAGTTCAATTTATTTTAAATTAATTTCAATGTAATTCGTTTATTACTATGCTAGCATCACAGATATACATCCTGCAACATGTTGGGTTGTATTCGCTTAGCATCAGTCAAGAATTTGTTCTCATTCCATCAATTACCAGACAGTCTCAGTTGGTGATATAGCTTATAAGTTATACGTGAAGTTAGTGGGTTGTGTTTATCTATATTTGCCGATGTATGAGATTGAATAGCTTCAAATTGCAGGAACAACTCATTTCTTGTTGATTTTACACTCAACAATGCCTTTTTAAATACATGCATATATATATATATATCCGCATTTTATGATCCTTTCTCATGAAACAGTTAAAGAAACATAATTTCCTTGTGAATCAACTCGTATCTGTACATGACTACTTGGCATGTGCAGCTTCCATTCTTCGACATGCAGACTTCATTTTCCACTCCAGGGGAAGCAGCAAAATCTCTGAGAGAAAGAGCAAAAGGCAATGGATATGAAGATTAAGCTGTTTGCCCTTAATCAATACAGGAAATAATCAAGACATATTTCACTTGTGTTTGAGAAAAGAGCTGAAACCACCTTTCCGCGCAATATATACCTTAGAATTTTCATTTCTAGGATGTTTCTGAATATTTGCATAAGAGGTTTCTGTTGGAACTGCTGCATTTCTCACACCACTTTGCCTCTCTTCTAGGTATTTGCCGAAAATTTGACTGTACCCATCAGATGATGCAGGGTCTGCTTCATTCCAATCACCAAATTTTGGAATGGAAGCACTCTGATCAGGCTGCAAGATTCCGAAATTAACACCCTAAATTATGCCTGAGCCAAAAAAAAAATTAAAATTAACACAATATATGCACAAAATGGATGATCCTTATGCAACCAAAACTTGCTAATGGTAGTTCAAATGCAGGAGACCAATCATTCTCTCGAGATCTTTCTGTCAGATCCAATTACTCCATGATCCGCAAAGGTGGCATAAGAATAAGAGGCAAGATTCTCAAAATACTATTTTACAGAGGTTGTTTCAATGGAGCTCCCTGCTCAAGTATTTGAGAAAGGCAACATTATCTGCACAGCTCAGAAAAGAATCGGCAAATATTCATGTTTCAGGTATATTAGAAATGCACCCAAGAGTTCTCTTCCGCCTTCCCTCCTTTTTTTCTTTCTTTCTGCTAACAATGATAAGAGCAAACAAGAAAAATTAAAATTAAAACAATTATCATGGGCAGCTTGGCATTGGCTTGGCTATACAACCTTTCCCTTCTGAGCAAAAAATGACCACATTAGTGTAACTATACATGATAAAAAAATTTAGTAAACGAGAAATTGAAGAACTTACAGATTCATTGCCTCGATTAACTGCTCTCAGTCGGGATCGTGTGGGAGTTAAAGGAGCTAATCCATGGGTATTATTTTCTGATGAACCCTTTCTTTCCCATGAAGGAGAAGACATTCCACTTCCTTCACCTCCAACTTTTGCCTAGTAATGCAAATATTGACAAGATTGTTCAGTGCTATAATCAGAAAATTCATTTTACCAAGTAAATATTCTAAGGTTATTACTGGAACTTACACCACCATGACTGTGAAGAGGGGAAGAAGTGACTCTTCGACCTGCAACATTATTGCACAAAAGAGAATCAGCAATCATCCTTAAGTTACCATTTTTATAGTTTTTGTGCTTTGTTGCGTTTGAGAAGCCATTTGATGCTTTCTGTTCAGCATCATACTTTGTAAAGCTTAAATCACCTTGCCCTTGACTATGTGGCCTAGCAATCACAGGATGATACAATGTGGATTCAGTTGGTCTGTTCAAATCATCTTCTCGATTTGCACAATGCTCAGTCTTTGTCATTACTGCATTTGGCACACCCTCTGCTCTGGTTTTGGCCTTTGTTTGAGAGTGAGGGTCTCGGACCGGGGATTTATTACTGGAGTAGGTACCGAGATTTTGTTGAGCATCACTTAGATCAATTTTCATGCCAGTTTTTTTCTTCCTCACCTTTTCAAAGTAGGCTGTGTAATGAACATCCTCTTCATTTTCCCAGTTTCCAAAAGTAGGAAGATTTGATTGTTGCTGCAGCAATAAAGACATAGTTAAAATATACATATAATGAAGAGAATATTTGTGTATGCAGACAAGTAGACAGACAAGAAAAAGCTTTCATTTTCAAACAAGGATCTGCAAGCAAAATCAAGCAACCAGTAAAGTCTGATGTTTGAAAGTTGTTCTGAAATATATAAAGGCAACTTGCATATCTATTCATCATCCTCATGAAACATCCATTGTTAGAAGACCAAGAAACTCCTGTTTCAGAAAATTTGTATTAGTTTCAATGGAAACAAAAGCCACCGTTGTGAATGATAATTGTATAACGTGGGTTTTATCTTGAGAAGTAATAGGCGCATATGTTTTATGTAAGTAATAGTATTAGTTACGCGCTCAAAACTTTTTCCCCTGTTTAGAATGCAAGAATCAGTTTAGTCACACAGTTAATGAAGGAACCAAAAGATAGTTTCTTCAACCATCATCTACTTCAAAGATCCCGACTGAAACATTTTTCAAATACAAAAGTTCAGTCTCTTCCCACCAATTAGTAAATTAGGCTCTACCCTACAGAATAAAAAAACAGCAAATCAATCTGCATAAATTGGAGTTCATCGTAAATGTGAAATGAAATACTTATCTTTTACGAAAAAAGTGCGGGGGAAATAAAAAAGATGCAGGGTCATTTGTCTGTTTGGCTAGTCAGACACTGGCTAGTTCATAGATTTTTGGGATTCGATTACCAAAGAATTAGCATTTCATTGC